TTAGATAGATAGATAGATAGATAGATAGATAGATAAATAGATAGATAGATAGATAGATAGATAGATAAAACGAACATATTTAAAGGAAAAGAAAGAAAGAAACAGACTGAGATAGATAGATAGATAGATAGATAGATAGATAGATAGAATAAAAAATGACCGAGAAAGAGATAGATAGATAGATAGATAGATAGATAGATAGATAGATAGATAGATAAAACGAACATATTTAAAGGAAAGAAAGGACCCAACAGACTTAGATAGATAGATAGATAGATAGATAGATAGATAGATAGATAGATAGAATGAAAAAGAACGAGAAAGAAAGAAACAGATAGATAGATAGATAGATAGATAGATAGATAGATAGATAGATAGATAGATAGATAGATATTGAGATCGCTTGGTGAGTAGAAATCTTATGTTGCGTTAAAATTTCATATACGGAAAACCTATCTTGAAAACTAACATCCAAACTTTACATATTCCTCTGACAGCCTTGATATGCTCACTATCATTTCTCCCCCACCGCAATAAGCTCATATCAGTGAATCTCAAAATATGATAACTGCTATGTAAAAGTAACTTTATATAAATGAACACATAGATAGATAGATAGATAGATAGATAGATAGATAGATAGATAGATATTCATGGATTGAAATTTCTGCCTCACATCTCTACATATAAACATTGATAGTTGTACATCTTTTGCTTATCTCTGCTTACGTCATGTGGACAAATCTTATGTTCAGACGTCGGAAAATCTGGTTAGAGGGCACACTCGGCTATACTTGCGTGTTTCTAACGAGGAAGCCTCGCTTACCCTTAAAGTGGTTGTTTTCCGTATAAAATAGACGAAAGTAACTCTTTATTGATAACAAACAGTAGTTAATTAATTTGTAAAGTTAGGGACGTTGGAAATTCTGTTAAAAATACATGAAGAAAATCAATATTTGATTAACAATCAAGTGGTGTGTTTAATTTAGATAGATAGTAATGAATAAAGAAAGAAACAGATTTAGCTATTTAGATAGATAAATCATTTTTTTTAAAAAAAGTAAATAATGGATGGCTGATCGTTTTCTGGTATACTGCTTCCTGTAGCCAATCCTTTTTGCAAACGCCTGCTCAGACACATTTATATTTTTTCAACAACCACAGGGCAAAGCACTGCTTTATAAAGTATCTAAAATGAGTTACAATTTCTGGGAGAGAGTGCGTAATATGATGCGATCAGCAATTAAATCGGATGACGACCATCGAAAGATTGGGCCAAAACGACTTCCAATTTCCTGCTTTTCTTTCTATGTGCTGTGTTCTTTCAGGACGTGGGCGATCATGGCTCTCCACCTCCTTCTATCCCTTGCAGCTCTCAACAAGTTCCTACCCTCTGCCACCTCCTCCAGACCACATTCCGTCATCCACTTGCTTAAGACCGCTAGGTATGTCATGCGTTGTTTTTCCTTGTCTCTCTTCCCCTCTATTCGACCTGTGAGTATCAGATTCTTCAGACCATGCTAGTACAACTATTTACGGCTTCCGAATATTTTCGACTACCGATTTTCACTCACAAGGCTTTAGTCAACCGTGATATGCAATATTTGATGAGTATCTTGGAAGCCGCCATTTTTCTTTTTCCTTTGGATTTTTTTTCCGTATAATATAAATTAACAGTGTATGCAGAACATTAAAAAACCAATTATCATCTATAACGTATTAAGCTTCTAGGTTTAAAATAAAGGAATCCAGAATCCTATGCGCACATATAATTCATAATTTCTCCATATACGGCGTAGGGAGTTGCGATGCATTCAACAGAAAATGGTGAACGTGATGCCAGCCAGAAGTGACACTTAAAAGGAAAAACAAAGCGAGATGAGAGTGAACTGGTACAAAGATAAAAGAACGGGATGTGGAGGGGGCGCAAATCAAATGACTACTGTCAATAAAGAAACTTACAAAAGGCGGGAAAACGAAATATAAAAAAAATGGCTTATAGAAATGGCAAGCGTTATAAAAAAAAAAAAACATAACTTAATACCAAAGAAAAAAAAAACGTTTATTGGATATGAAGGTAATAACCATAAAATGACGATGACTAATACATTATGTGTAAGCATGGTAGCTGGATTTATTCTGAATATAAGTACAGCGTGATATGGTTGCTAACATTGTTTTTGTTTGTATTCTTTATTCACCTTGTTTCACAGATTTCGCTTTCCTCTCTTTGGTTCATCAAGTAAAATACGTAATAGAAAAGGACGCAAATTACATTAACATTTATGCTTCCGAGACTTCATCCCGTGTATAGTTTGAAAAGTGAGTCAGAGACAGCCATAATCCATATATACATATTTGGTGTATACGTGTGAGTCATCATCAGATGGCCAGAAGTGGTCGTAGGTTCGCTGCGCAGCGGAACACCTGACTAGTTCCCTCCTCAGAACTGGGTTGAAAGACGGTATCACTTTCCAGTCTTACACTATAATACTGTAAAAACGGCAATATTCCTGGATATGACGATAAACTACATCCGGCAGCAATGTCTCTGATCGGGTGATTGGAGTTTTTGAGAAGCATGGAACCACCTCTTAATTGCTGTTGTTCCCAGATTCACCCTGACCCGGGGTGGTAGCAACTGTTTGAGTCACAGCTATGGGTAATTAGCGAACCTTCAAACAAAAATAAAGCATTATGAAAGTATAAAAAAATATATTTTTATATAAAATTTACCAACAATACATATCGATAGTAAATTTACCAAGAATATATTTTAAAGAAAAATGACCAGCAATACATTTTATCTGTAGTTGAAGGCATACAATTTTTTTCTTTCTATGTGCCATGTCCTTTCAGGACGTAGGCGATCATGGCTCTCCACCTCCCTCTATCCCTTGCTGCTCTCAACAAGTTCCTTCCCTCTGCTTCCTCCCCCAGACCACGTTCTGTCATCCACTTACTCAAGCCCACCAGGTATGTCACGCGTTGTTTTCCCATGTCTCTCTTTCCCGCTATTCAACCCGTGAGTATCAGATTCTCCAGGCTCTCCTTTCTCATTATGTGTCCCAGAAACTTATCAGCTGCCCCTTCCTGATATTAAGTATAAGCCTCCTTCTTGTTTGCAACCTCTTTAAGATCTCATCGTAGCTCACACGCTCTGTCCATGCTATCCTTAGCATCCTTCTGTAGAACTACATCTCTATCGCCTCGAGTCTCTTCTTCATCTTTGAGGAAATCATCCAACATTCGCTGCCATAAAGAAGGACAGATGTCACGTGACAGTTCAGTATTCTTTTCTTAGTTACCAAAGACAATAACGTTCCTAATATATTTAATTGACGGCATTAAATTATGTTCAGAATATTTAGATAAGGGTTTATATGTCGCTAAGCCGAATCAACCGACCAACTTATGCAACAAGAAATGCCGTAGATGTGAATTTTACAAACGTTCGGTTATTTATAAAAATCTTAAAACATTCAAGAAACCAGATAAGCTGATATCGTATTGTCTGTTTTTTTCAGAAATCAATCCATAGCCTTGAAGAAACAGTTTAGAAATGGCATCACATCCTCTTCATGAGTTGTAATGTTGAATAATCTTGATTCTAATTTCTAAACTATATTCAAATGTTTTCATCATTATCTATATTTAATTAAGCGGATTACCAGTCAAAAGATTCTATATATAAATACTTCTAACGCCAGTGAAATCATCAACCGAGATTACTCTGGAAATGTAAAACAAATATCGTTATATGAATGTCATGAAGCTATGATGGAGCAAAGGATTGCATCTCGGATTGAAGAGAGCCGAATTTTTATTCCAGTTAATCACTTCCGTGCTAATACCCATAGTAAAGGTATGAATCCATCTCTTCTCTACCCACCAGCTATGGGTAAATATCAGAACAGAATGGATTCTATAGCGTTAGGGGGGCAACCAGTATAAGAGTGGAGAAACGTTGAATTCAACCTGGCCTGGAGAAGTTTGGGCTTCGTCAAGCATCTACTGCCTCTGCAGTACATGCGATGGACCTACGACTGTAATGATATATGGGATTCCTGATCGAATTATTACACAATAATCATCATTTATACAAAAGGACATAAATAAATTGACGGTTTGTAATTTTCCCCTGCCATTATTTTTGGACATAGTTTTAACTGTAGTTTTTTTTTTGTTCTTTAAATACACATTATTTAAATGCTATTATACTATTATTGTTTAAATTCACATTATTCAAATGTTATTATTCTATCATTATTATTATTATTATTGTTTAAATACGCATTATTTAAACGCTATTATACTATTGTTATCGTTATTGTTTAAATGCACATTATTTAAATGTTATTATACTATTATTATTATTGTTTAAATGCTATTATACTATTATTATTGTTTAAATACACATTATTTAAATGTTATGATATTATTATTATTGTTTAAATACACATTATTTAAAGGTTATTATACTCTTATTATTATTGTTTAAATGCTATTATATTAGTGATTTTCCAAGTGTAGCTTAGATGTGGCACAAGGCCGAAAGTAGGGGGCACCCAGTGAGGATCGAACTCACTACTCAGTCACAATTGTTCAAGCGAGACAAGCTTGCTAACGATTACAAGCTTGCTAAAGATTTTCCAAGCGTAGCTTAGATGTGGCACAAGGCCGAAAGCATGGGGCATCCAGTGAGGATCGAACTCATTTTTCAGTAGTAACTGACCTAGCAAGACAAGCTTGCTAACCATTACACCACGACAAGGTACCCCAATTAGACAGATAGTCTCTGGTATGTCCTGTGCACACTACATATATTACTGAAATAGTCAGTCCACAATAGGTAATAGGGAGAGTGGAACATTCCATTGCAACACATAACAGAAATTATTTTTAAAAATTAGCATTTGGATCTTTGATTCCATATAAATATTTAAATTAATCATCCAACGAATTAGAAATTTTTGATTCATGCGTTGCTTTGTTTTTTCATTTTCACATTATCCATATTACCTTCAACGTAATTTTCGGTTTCACTAGTGCTTGGATGTTCAAAGGTAATCTCTTACAATGATAGAGGATTATCCCTGTGCATATTTCCGCTTAAATTTTTAAAAAAATCCCAGCACTTAAAGCGAAGACCTAACTTCAACAACACGTAAAATTTTATTCTCCATTAATTAACGGAACAAACACCGTGTAGAGAATTTCACTCAGAAGTCTGTCGTTAACATACGCGATTGGAACATTTTACAATACGAATGGTCGGCATGAATTTAATCGAGAATTTATTTTTATGCGTGTGATGAGCTGAAACAATAAATTACTGGAATATAGGCTGTCCAAAAAAGTTACATTTCTAAAATTTGAACATAAATCATGCAACGCTGGTATATGTAATCAATCTTACGAGTTGGAATTGCACGGATGTCGACAAGTAGGATATAGGCTTTACTCTTGCATGCACATGTCTGCAATTACTGAGGAAACAATTAGTGTATGCTTATTAAATATATATATATATATATATATATACATACATATATATATATATATATATATATACACACACACATACACACATATATATATATATATATGTATGTATATGTCTAAATATATATGTATGTGTTTGTAGACATAATAAAATAAAAATAGAATATGTTAGACTGAAAAGAAAGAAAGAAAAGGAACGGAGAAAGAATAAAAAAGAAGGAATAAAGAAAGAAAGAAAGAAAAGGAAGAAAGAAAGAAAGAAAGAAAGAAAGACAAAAAGAAAGAAAGAGGTTAGGTTAATTGATTTCATGATATTTCAACCATTGCTGGATCATTTTTTTTTTTAATTTTGATTTTCATCTTTAATTTTTTCTTAATCCAGAATCAAATATTAAAGTCTTACAGAATAAATAACAACGAACATATCATTTTATATTTAACCTCTCTAAAATAATTACTAACTAGAACAATTCCCGTTTCCATAATTTTTAATATTTTTATTATATATATATATATATATATATATATATATATATATATATGGTTGGATAGATGTGAGTTTGTGACCCTGGGTTTCACGCTTTAGCGATCGTCTGACGTGAAACCCAGGGTCACGAACTCACATCTATCCAACCAAATATGTTAGCTCTATCTCTGATATCGAGCGCTTTCTAATAAGTACTGCATATAATATATAAATAATTATACATATATATATATATTTATTTATATTTATATACACTTTTCACACACACACACACACATATATATATATATATATATATATATATATATATATATATATATATATATATATATATATATATATATAGAGAGAGAGAGAGAGAGAGAGAGTGAGTTCCTCCTGATGATTGTCGTTACATGAAACTCTGATTAGTGGATTTTGGTATTGATAATACTATTGTATTATATGTAGGGTCTGTCGATATTTTAAGCGTTCAGCTTTTATTCATGCTATTTATGAGGGTATATATATATATATACATATATAATGTCATTGCAGATAGTACTGTTTCGCTGTATCACAGCTCCTCAAAGCGACTAGACATCCGATCCTGTGCCCCCAAGTGGGTTGCTATCTGGGGAATTAGGTGGCCTGATGTAAGGGGTGATGTAGTGGCAGAAATTGTCTGACTGCCACGATTGAGGTTCTTCTGTTTGTGTGGCATAGTGCATAATCGTGTTACCAGACATTGGGTCTTTCAATAGCCACCCTCTTGACCAAGAGAAGCACTACCTTCTCAAGGCACTTGATGTAGGCCTCCGTGCTGATTCGCCAACAATTTCCGTAGTTCTTTTTTTCAGGGTTTCTTTTTCAGAACGACCAGTGCGAGTTTTCCTAGCTGCCGTACCTTCGTAATCACCATCAGACTCATCCAACTCTTTCCGAATCATCTGCACTTGAGACCCAAACACGCTGAAATGTATGCATAGGAGCTTCCGGCGCGAATGCCAAGTAGTACAGCATGCCGTTTCCAAATTCCAGGCGGATTGAATTGCATCATGGTGCTCTTTTTCTCACAGACATTGCCAAACTGACCGTACCATGTTGTGCAGTCGACAAAATCAAAAACAATGATGAATTGAAATCAACCACTTAACCAGTTAATAACAGATGGCCTGAATTGTATATAATGGAAATAAGGAACATTTGCCGTCGGTGAGGTTGATCTACTATGATGCCAATTTGAACTGGGCTCATCTTAGATGAAGCCAGAATAGATTTGACCCTCAGCATTACACTAGACCACTAAAGATGTCAGATTCTTTAGTTAGTTGACTTGAATGTTAACATCATAACAGCCGTCTGCAGGTCCGCGTATCAACTGATGTCAGTGGCTGCCCACCGACACCTGAATGCGTTGACGACACAGATGTGCCTATGATGTGATGGCTTAGCAAAAAAACATATAAAAATTAGATATATAAACACTTACCTAAGAGGAGAGAGAAAGAGTGTTTTACATACACGCGAGAATGTAAAGCCCACGTTCGACGCCATGATTGATGAAAATGAAGTTGAATAAACTGTAATGAACACATACGAAATTGTTGATTAAAATAAAATTGGAATGACCGCTAATAACCGCCCCACCAAATTTATAGAGAAAATCTAGAGACGCATGCTGGGATTTCGTCATAACCAATAAAAATTATCAATTCTTGTTCTTATCCTCATATTTTTGTTCTTTCTTGACTTGAAATCAAAACGTCATATCCAATTGACTGTTTCCCTTTTTGCATGGGAATTTTTTACTTTACGGCTGTCTCAGAGTTGGTTTGCTTTGCATTTAATTTGCATTATATATAAAGTCATTAACAAAAGTTTAAGACCACTTAGTTGTAACAACCATATTTATTTTTGTTTTGTTTTTATTTTTATTTTTTATTTTTTTTTTTGCATTACCTTGTATCGTATGAGATTGAAACAGCTTTTAGTTACTGCATTAGACATTATTTTCACATGATTTATGGCCAAAGCATTTTTATCATTGCCAAATTATCCGTCCATTGTCAGAGTATTTTGCAGTAAATTAATCTTATAATATGAAAGAAAATAAATTTATTCAGTAAAATCGCCATTGGCTTCAACCACGGTCTCCAGACGACTTGAAATCAGAATGTTATAACCAATTGACTGTATCCCTTTTTGCAAGGGTGTTTTTTTTACTTTATGCCTGTCTTAGAGTTGCTTTGCTTCGCTATCTGCTGAATTATGTACCCTGATGTAAAAGGTGATGTGGTTACACTAGACCACCAAAGATGTCAGATTCTTCAGCTAGTTGACTTGAATGTTAACCTCCTAACAGCCGTCCCCAGATCCGCGTATCAACTGATGTCAGTGGCTTCCCACCGATATCTGAATGCGTTGACGACACCGATGCGCGTATGATGTGATCGCGTAGCAAAAAAAAAAACATATAAAAATTAGATATATAAACACTTACCTAAGAGGAGAGAGAAAGAGTGTTTTACATACACGCTAGAATGTAAGGCCCACGTTCGACGCCAAGATTGATGAAAATGAAGTTGAATAAACAGTAATGAACGCATACGAAATTGTTGATTGAAATAAAATTGGAATGACCGCTAATAACCGCCCCACCAAATTTATAGAGAAAATCTAGAGACGCATGCTGGGATTTCGTCATAACCAATAAAAATTATCAATTCTTGCTCTTATCCTCGCATTTTTGTTCTTTTTTGTCTTGAAATCAGAACGCGTAGACGATAAAGATGTGCCTATGACGTGAACGCGTAGCAAAAATATATAAAACATAGATATATGAAATTGAAATCAACCACTTCCAGGAAATAAAAGATGGCCTGAATTGTATATAATGTGAATAAGGAACATTTGCCATTGGAAAAGTTGATCTACGATGATGCCAGTCGGAATTGGACTCATCTTAGATGAAGCCAGAATAGACTTGGCACATACACTAGACTATCAAAGATGTCAGATTCTTCAGCTAGTTGACTTGAATGTTAGCTTTCTTAACAAATGAAAGTGGGCAGTCAGTGACATCACTTAACGAAGGAACACACTGTGGTTCTACGCGATAAGGATTATTCTGAACGGGAAATTATTGTAAAAGTATGTTGTAGCAAAACAGATGTGTACACTTCTATGGAAAATTTCTAAAATACAGGTATATCCAGCGACAAGAAGAGAAGTGTACGTCCAAGGAAAACTAGTGCTATGGGTGGCAACTTGATGAAAACATTACTACACGATCTCCCAACAAATTCTTATAAGATACGTACTTCTCTTCAAAATGTAAGTTTTATTACAGTTTCATGTCGTCTGAGATTTGAGTTTAGTCGGAAATAATTCGAATCGGCTAGTAAAGTTATGTCAGAAAATGAACCGTCTTTTCAACCGTTCGTTATGCATAACAGAATCATTAGAAGACCTTCTGGTAAAAAATTTGAATAAAAGGATACAATTTAGACTGTGAAACACCAAGCAAGCCAGTTGATTTGGCGTGCTATGTCCAAATCTGGAACAACTTGACTATTTCTTGCCTCCAAGAAAAGTGAAGAATGTTGCAAGGAAAATGGAACTGCTTCAGGAGAAACTGGAACTGCATATGCTCATTCATCAGTACCCAATGTTTGTACATGATGATGCTCTATGCCACCGGTCAAAGGCAGTTCAGAATATTTTTTAAAATATCAAGGTGACAACACTTGACTGGCCGGGGATCTAAACCCAATTGAAAATTTATGGGAAATTGCCAAAAAAAAAAAAAAGTTGTAGAAAAACTTCAATTACCGAAGAACTGAGAGAAGCTGTTAATGAAGTCTGTAAAAAAAGAAATCTCTCTTGACTCTTGTAGTAACTTGATTCTAACCATTTATTAACAGCAAAATACTGACTGCTGGACTACTTTTTACCGCTGACCATGTACAAATTTGTGAGTAAAATAGTGTCAGTGTCTCATAAATTACTTGTTTGTGTGTCTTTTTTTTAACTTTAAGAGAATATAATTACATGGTGGTCATAAACTGTTGTTAATAACCACACGTGCACGCGAGCAGGCGCACAAGCGCATGGGCATACACTCACTCACACACACACACACACACACACACACACACACACACACACACACACACACATATATATATATATATATATATATATATATATATAAATTATTTATTTAAAAATATGATCCCAATACGTTACATAAGAGTTCTAATGTTTCAAAACAAGAGCCGTTACCATAGAAATTTTGATTTCAATAATGAATATGCTTATAAAACGCGTAAATTTCAGAAATAAGTTATTCCAAAAAAATTTCGCTTGAAGATGGAACAGAGCTTAGTACTTTAATTCAATTTAATTCAAATAATATATATTAAAGTTTTCAGCTCTTGCTTTGAAACATGAGAACTCTTATGTAGCGTGTTGGAATCATATTTTTAAATAAATAATTATATTTATGCTCTACTTTTGTATCGAGCACTATTTTTTAAAAATAATAACAAAAATACTAAGGAACTTTGGATTAATTACCTAACGAGTTCTTTCCTATTTTCTATATATTTTCACACACACACACACACACACACACACACACACACACACACACACATATATATATATATATATATATATATATATATATATATTCTTTATGCCTTATTTTCATAGATATAAGTTATTTAACTAAATGCACTATTTTTTAATTAAAAAATATTTACCGGACTGAATGTTTGCGAAATTTCGGAGAAAATTAGCCGATTCCTGTCGGAAACGGCTAATTTTCTCCGAAATTT